CAAAAGAAGGCAGAGAAAGCGTAGTGTATCTGAACAGAGATCACCATGACAGTGGTTTCCCCCATTAGTGGACAGTTGGATTGAGATCCTCATCGTTGCTACAGAGCTAAATCTGCCAGTAGTTCAGAAAGATCAAAACAGTATGGCGGCACCAACAGGAGTTGAGGAGATGATGCGCCAAATGCAAGAAACCATACGAGCCATGCAGCAGGATGCCGTTCGCCGGGATGAACTCGCTAAGCAACAAGCTGAGATTATGACCCAGCAGGCTGAGCTGATTACCAGACTGCAACAACAGAATACAGCGTCTGCTTCACAACAAATTCCTCCTCCGGCAGGGGCTCCATTACCTGAGCAGACACCTGCTGTTCAGAACGCTCCTCCAAACACCCGGAATACTGTGCCAACTATCCAGAACCTACAATAGGACACTAACCTCCCAACGGGGCCAGCTCCGCCCCCGCTTCCGCCACAACTGTCCAAGGTCCATACACCCAATCACCCGGACTCTCCCTTCGAGTTCGAGGTTGATCATACAGCTCTGAAATTGAGCAAACTTGAGAAGCTCTTCAACAAATCCCAAGGGGTCAAGGCTATGCCGGATATCGAAGACGGATATACCGAGGAGGCCGTGACACTCCTCGATAGGTTCAAAATGCCACAAATCGACCGCTTTAACGGGACCGGCGACCCCATGGTCCATCTCCAACTGTTTGCAGACATCTTGTGGCCAATGGGCCTAACACGACCACAGAAGCTTTCACTATTCGGCCGAACCCTGTCGGGTGTGGCCGCCATCTGGTACGCGAAGCTAGAGGATGAGGTCAAAAGAAATTGGGATGAAATGGCTGAGGCCTTTGTCACGCAATATTCGTACAACACTCAGATCGAGATTACAACTCGTGATCTCGAAACGACAAAAGAATTGGGATGAAATGGCTGAGGCCTTTGTCGCGCAATATTCGTACAACACTCAGATCGAGATTACAACTCGTGATCTCGAAACGACAAGGCAAGAGCCCAAGGAAACTTTCTTGGACTTTGTAATCCGATGGAGGGCGAAGGCGTCAATGATGACTCTAAGGCCCACGGATAAGGACCAAATCCGGATGATTGTGTGCAATCTCCACCCAAAGTTGATGCAGAGAATGATTGTAATCCCCTTTCCTACTTTCTCAGATTTACACGAGATGGGGGTGCAAATCGAAGATGCAATGAAACATGGTCTGTTTGACCACGACAGGGAACAACCGAGGAGGACTTTCATCCATAACAACAATGCGGGCCCGAGTGGCGCTGCAAATACAAGAGCCTCGGAAGTTAGTATGGTTACCACCACTCCCCCTCCCCCTCCAAGGCCCATGGCTGCCACACCCTTCTCCGGCGCGTCCGGAAGCAACACACAAACCACCAGATTCCAACCTCGAGGCCAAAGAACCTTCACTCCACTATACATGCCCCTGACCAAAGCTCTAGGGGTATTGATCAGAAAAAAAGCATTTGAAACCTCTGGAGCCAAAGCCACTACCAAATTCACTCCCTCCCTTTCATGACCCGTCAAAATACTGTGCATATCACCAACAACACGGTCACGACACCGACCGTTGTTACAGATTGCGTCCTGAGATCCAAGATCTTATCGACAAACAGGTGATCGCGCCTCCCGATAAACCCAATGTCACAACCAACCCTCTCCCACCACATAACCAAGCTCCTCCTCCCAACAGAATCAATTTTATCCAAACTGGGGTCGCATCTTACGATCATAGTATCTATATCACCCCATCCCACCTACCCAAGACAAGAGCACCCTAACTTCTGTGGGAATGTTCTCATGATTCATGTTTCAAAGTGGTTTGACAAAGGTTTTTACAATTATTATTATTATTATAAATAAAGTATACACTCTCTGTTTGTTACGTTAGTCTAACTCTACTTTTGTTTTTTAAGGCAACCAATGAAACCCTACCTTTTTCCATGCTTAGGTTGGACATTGTACGAATAAGACATTACGCATAAAGGTGCAGTGCCACCCCACCCACCATCCACACACACACAAAAATTGTTGCAATTGGTTAGTTGCTGACCTCCCTAGTGCAATTGGGAGAATATTCCAATGTTGTAGTACAAATCTTTATTGATTATTGAATTTGTAAATATTTGTATTTATTACCAGTTGTCAAGGCATCTGGTTTGATATTCGTTCTTTGTCCTATTCAACTTTCAGGACTTATCTCAGACTTCCATGGAGGCCACTCATTTCAGTTGATGGAAGCACGATATATGATTTAGATGACAAATTCAAAGTAAGAAATACGAATTCATTTTTGCTTCAGTGTTTGTTCTCCTACAAAATGTGTGATTTTTGAGATACACATTCACTTGCATTTGGGTGATTGCTAATATACATTTCACAGATTGTTAGGCATGCTGAGAGTTGGGACATTTCTGCCCTTGAAGCAATTGGCCAGATTTTTACACCTAGTTTTGGAAGGCCTAGTGAATAATATATGTTCCCTTCTCACAGAATTTTGAAGAAAGTTCATACTATAATGTTACCAATTTCAAGCAGTTACCGCTGATTTGATTGTTGAGGTAACATTAGACTTGTATTTATTTTGTACAGAGTTTTTAAGCTCATATTAATCACCCCATTGTTTGTAATTAGTTTGGTAAGAAACCATATGAACTTTCACTCACTTATAAACTTACTGTAGACAATCATATGATGTCATCCCGTTGTGTTTTACTTGAATTAGCATGTAAATTCTCTGAATTGTGGTTATTTGACAGTGCAAATGTATATGCTAGGTTGGAAGCTGGTGCTTAAGCTGTCTATAAGGAATACAGAATTGTTATACTAGTCACCCATTCCCAGACTTGTAAGACTAACATTTGAGTTGTGACAAGGTGATTCTTGATGTCATATAACTTAGTTGTTGCATGCTCAAACCCACTGTTAAGAGTGATTCTACTTAATATAGATCAAGAAAAATTAGGAAGTGTCTCACTTCTAAATATGGCTTGAAAAATGACTGGACAGATTTGTTCTCTCTCTCTCTCTCTCTCTCTCTCTCTCTCTCTTATGAGATTCAATATTTAATTAAGTTACTATAAAAATTTCAACTTCAAATTCATCCATTTATTATATTTTCTTGATTTTTCAAGTTTATGATTCTGTGTAGAATTTTTAGACTAAGAATTACACCCATTATTTATGCACGAATTTAGCTCTTTAAATTGCTTAACTAGGGTATTTGGCGTAGTGATTGTGTAACATCCTTTGTGGTATGAGATTTCGAACTCATACGGAGAGGAGTTTGATATCCTTTATGATGGTGATTATTTCTCCCCCATTATGGGGTTGTTGGGCAGGTTTGGGCTTAGGCTTCGTTCGGGAAGTTGAGTTGGTTTTTTGGCTATTTGAGCCCAGGCTAAAAGTTCATTTGGGTTGACTTTTTTGTTTTTTGTTTTACTTTTGTGAGGGAAAAAGTGAAATGATAATGGTTTGGATGTAACATTTTATCTTATTAACTTTTTAGCCTATTTTGTCTTTTTGTAGCTAATTTAGCCAAAAAGCCAACCCAACCCACATCCCAAATGAGGCCTTAGGTCTCATTTGGAAACAGACTATTTTAGTAATTTTTTTGACTTTTTACGAAAAAATGTACAGAAAAATAGAGAGTTGATGTGACAAGTTTTAGTTAACTTTTTGACTTTGTGGCTAAAATAACCACTCCCCAAACAAGCCAAACAAGGTAGTTGGTTTGAAGGAAAATTCTTGCGCACACAAAATTTGATTATAGAGTTAAATGACTTTTTTTTCTCCAACTCCATTAAAATTCAATTTGAATTTAAAATTTCTCTATAGGTGATCACTTATAATTATAATTATGTTATTTAATTTTTAAAATTTTTTAAACTCAACTTAAGTTGTTTGGATTGAGCTTACCTAAATTTACAATTCTAGTAGGAGGTTGAAAGTTACATAATTAAATTTGTGATAAATTAAAAAATAATAAATAAATTGTGATAAAATTGTGAGACTTAAATTATAAATTTTAATCTTCTTTATTTTTATAATTTACATATAAAAATTTAATTATTTATATCATTTTGTATAAAAATATATTATTAATTTTTTTGACATGTCGTGCATAACATGGATTAGCACTGATATATTATACGACAATGCTACGTAACTCAAATTTTGTGGCTAAAAAGTAGCTCAAATGGCCAAAACGACGTCGTTTTGAGTCCAGAACAACATAAAAATGGCCAAAACGACGTCATTTTGACCATTTGAGTCACTTTTGAGCCACAAAATTTGAATTACGAGACATTTTCCTATATTATAAAGGAAATATGACATGACAGAGAATAGGAGTAAAGAGAGCGAGACCTCAAACGTGGGAACCAAAACTCATCGTGGGAAATAAAAAAAAAAAAAAGTGATCAAATTTCAACGACAAAATCTCTCTTCTAATCAAAGCTATAAACAATTAGATGAATAGGATGGATGTATTACAACATATAACACTCCAATAAAAATGTTGTTACATTAAGTAATTTTTTTTGGAGATGTTTAAAAAAAGTAGGGATTTTTATTGATAAGTCCAATTTAGAAGTGTTTTAACCTAAGAAGTCCATGAAGGAATTTTTTAACTCATTTAGTCCAATATATGTATAGTTTTATTTCATAAAGTCCATTTTCTTGATTTACACTATTTTCTTGGACACTTATGCCCTTATATTTAATTTTGATACCCTTATAAATATTTTTTGAACGATTAGCAATTTAATGATGTGAACATTCATATTTTAAAATTCACATTGGTAGGAATGTAAAATTGGCCCGTGGGCGGCCCGAAACTCGGCCGCGAGCTGGGGCGGACCCGGCCCGTTGACAATGTGAATATTCACATTGACATATTAACATTCACATTAATAGAAGTGTAAAATTGACCCCCATCCCGTGGCGGCGCGAAACCCGCCCGCGACCCATGGCCGGCCCGAGGCGGTCCCGGTCCGGCCCGTCGACAATGTGAATATTCACATTGACATGTTAACATTCACATTGATAAGAGCATAAAATTGGGCCGCGGCCCATGGGCGGCCAAAAGCCCGCCCGTTGCCCGGGGCGGGCCCGGCCCGGCCTGTTGACAATGTGAATATTCATATTGACATGTTAACATGCACATTGATAGGAGTGTAAAATTAGCCCGCGCCCCATGGCTGCCCGAAACCCACCCACGGCTCATGGGTGGCCCGGGGCGGGCCCGGCCCGGCCTGTTGACAATGTGAATATTCACATTGACATGTTAACATTCACATTGATAAGTGTGTACAATTGGCCCGTGACCCGTGTGCAGCCCGAAGCCTAACCTCAGGCCGGGGCAGGCCCCGCTCGTTGGCAATGTGAATATTCACATGACATGTTAACATTCACATTAATAGGAGTGTAAAATTGGCCCGCAGCCCGTGGGCGGCTCGATGCCTGATCGTAGCCCGAGGCGGGCTTGGCCCGACCCGTGACAATGTGAATATTCACATTGACATGTTAACATTAACATTGATAGGAGTGTAAAATTTGTCCGCTGCCCGAAGCTCGCCCATGGCCCGGGGTAGGCCCGGACCCAAACCCGGGCCGCCAACGGGCTTCAGGCCGCCCGTGGGACGCGAGTCAATTTTACACTCTTATCAATGTGAATGTTAACATGTCAATGTGAATATTCACATTGTCAACAGGCCGGGCCGGGTCCGCCTCGGGCCGCCCATGGGCCATGGGCGTATTTCGGGCAGCCACGGGGCACGGGCTAATGTTACACTCTTATCAATGTGAATGTTAATATGTCAATGTGAATATTCACGTTGTCAACGGCCCGGGGCCGGGCTTCGGGCTGCTTACGGGTCACGGGCCAATTTTACACTCTTATCAATGTTAATGTTAATATGTCAATGTGAATATTCACATTGTCAACGAGTCGGGTCGGGCCCGCCCTAGGCAGCGGGCGGGTTTCGGGCCGCCCACGGGCCATGGGCCAATTTTACACTCCTATCCATGTGAATGTTAATATGTCAATGTGAATATTCACATTGTCAATGGGCCGGACCGGGCTCGCCCCCCGCCGCCCACGGGCTTCGTGCCGTCCATGGGACGCGAGTCAATTTTACACTCTTATCAATGTGAATGTTAACATGTCAATGTGAATATTCACATTGTCAACAGGCCGGGCCGGGCCCATCCCAGGCTGCCCATGGGCCGTGGGCTAGTTTCGAGCAGCCACGGGGCGCGGGCTAATTTTATACTCTTATCAATGTGAATGTTAACATGTCAATGTGAATATTTACATTATCAACAGGTCGGGCCGGGCCTGCCCAGGGCTGCTCATGAGTCGCGGGCGGCTTTCGGGCCGGCCACAGGGCGCGGGCTAATTTTACACTCCTATCAATGTGAATTGTAACATGTTAATGTAAATATTCACATTGTCAACGGGCCGGGCCGGGCCGGGCCAGGCCCGCCCCGCCCCGGGCCCGGGCTTCAGGCTGCCCACGGGTCATGGGCCAATTTTACACTCTTGTCAATGTTATTGTCAATGTTAATATGTCAATGTGAATATTCACATTGTGAACGGGCCGGTCCGGGCCCGCGCCCGGGCGGTGGGCTGGTTTCAGGCCGCCCACGGACCGCAGGCCAATTTTACACTCCTATCAATGTGAATGCTAACTTGTCAATGTGAATATTCATATTATCAACAAGCCGAGCCGGGCCTATTTTTTTGGCCTGTGGGTCGGCCCGGCCCGATTCGAATTTTTCCGGGCACCCACGAGGATCGACATGGGCCGGGCCCCTACACATTGACGATATGAACATTTACGTTGACGGTGTGAACATTCACATTAAGGGTATTTTGGTAATTATGTCACCCATAGGATTTATTAAAATATAAGAAAATAATGTGAACTAAATGAAACATAAGTAGATGAAAAGGGTATTTTGGTCTTCTTATCTCAAATTGGACCTAATGGAATAGTAAAAAAGAATATGGGTTGGATGGAATAAAGCTCTTAGAAAATGGATTTATCAAAAAAGCTCCAAAAAAAGTATATTAAGAAATTTTTTTGTGTATTACACTAAATAGTTTTTCTGAATTGTTATATTGGAGTGTTATGTTTGAAAATAATATACTACGGATTTTTTTTGGAGTGTTTCATTGAAGTGTTATATTTGAGTGTCACAATTTGAAATAATACATATGTCCAAAGTTTATTAAGGAGTTTCCTTTTGACATGTTTGAAGAGTCACATCCTTTTGAAATGTTTGAAAAATCCTATATTTTAAGTTATTCTTATACTTCTTTTGAAATTCTAAATAAAAAAGATTCTCGTACAAAAATTTATCTCAAATTTAATCATCATAAATTGTATATCTTATCTTTCTAACATAAAAGAAAAAAAGAAGGAAATATAGTAAAAATAAGAGTATAACTGTAAATTTAATTTTTAAATAATATATTAGTTTGGGAAGACTAAATAAGTGCACTTTTTGACTTTTTATGAAATATGGGTTGGGTTTGGGTTGGGTTTGAAGTGATGTGTTAGAGAGGTGATGTGACTTAAATAAGATGATGTGACTTAAATAGAATAGTGACTTTTTGACTTTTTGTCTTTTTTGTCTCATGCCAAACTTGGCCTAAATCTACATTTCTAAAATTAATGGTACTAATTGATCTATAAAAAAATTCTTGGGACTAAATAAATCACCATTCCTCAAAATGTGATTTATAAATAAAATTTTCAAAAATAAACCATCTATTTTAATTATTTTGAAAATAAATATGATTAAATCATATAATTTTACTTATGGGATAAAATTTAAAAATTTAACTGATTAAGTGATACCCATAATGGGAGCAGAGGGACAAAAAAGTTGTCTTCTTGATATAGGCTCCGTTTGGTAGAGCTGTGGGAAAGTAATTATAACTTATAGTTTAACAGCTTATAGCTTATAACTGTGAACATAAGCTGATTTTTAACTTATAAAAAGCTATAAGCTGTATTGTTAAGCTGAACCAAACACATCAAAATAGCTTAAATTAAGCTAAAATCTGAAATAA